TTATGAATTAGGATCTTAAAACATTGCATGGCTTGAAGTGATAGATAACTTTCCTTTCTATGCCATTATTTCTTTAGCGTTCCGCAAACACGGCAAGGCATCAGTCTGACCTCTGTTTCCTCCGGGACCAATTATGACAGGCAGGCCAAGAGATACTGATAATTCTGGAAATTTAGCCCTTAGCCACCAAGGAGGGACTTTTCAACCTTGAGAGTTAATTTTTTTTTATATATTTATGCTTTTGCCTGCACTAGAAGGCAGATGCGAATGCACACAGACTTATGGATTTACATACCACACACTCACCTGGAAACCCCTAATGAGTATGTTCTGTGCAATGTCAAGGACAAAGCAGTAAAATCTATTAGAAGCTCTCCATCTAAAACATTAAAGACATCTTGAATTGAAATGAACCTTTTAAAAAAATCTCTTTCGTCCTATGCATTGCAGTGTTCATATGGATTTTTATTTTTCTTAATGGCTAGCATTTCCTTTTTCAGTCTTCATCCAGATAATTGTGCATAAAAATATGCACACATGTAATGTTTGCAAGCAGTTGTTCTAAAAAAATACCAACAAATCCAGTCTTATGGTGTAAAAGAGTGATTACGCATACACAAGCCTTAGGTTAAATGTATTGGTTTACATTAGGAAGGCTTTTAGACTACTCAGATCAGTCACTCTCTAACTGCAGAGCAGTGCATGTGCTATAAATATCTGCTATGGAGCACAAGAGGTAATTTCAATGCAAAACATGTAGATTACAGAACATGGCAAAGCAATTTAACCCTATGCATTGCAACAACCATTAACATTCGCTAGAGAGGGAGATACTGAGAAGAAAGAATACGGGTGTGTATGATAGTCACCAGACTGACAGCTCAATCAAATGTAACCTGTAACTACCTGTAATGGTGTTCAATAATGTCTATTTTGCTCAAATCAGAGCAATGTTGGTGATAATGCAGCATCGGAAGAAACTAATAAAATGCATAACTTGGAAAAAGCTGTTATTGGTTGTTTAGAACAGTCAAACATATCCATCAGCGGAATAGTGGTCTTTGTTTAAAATGATTAGTGACTAAACACTTTATAAATATTAAGGGAGATGTGTGTGCAAAACAACAAAAAAACAAATCCAAGGTAGTACTGGCGATGGGGTTTATGATACTAAATACATAGAGACCAGCCATAACATAAAAATCATCTGCCTAAAATTTAACAAGGTTTATGGCCACGACAAAGCAAAACTGGAGGAATAGTTGAAAGCTTATGGGTACCATCCCGTTAGCTGGAGATTTTGAAGCCAAGTCAACACCCCATACTCTTTCTTCTCTTCTTTGAGAAAACATTTTGACAGTTTTCTAGTAGTCCACTTAGATCCTTTTGAGGAGTGGATGAAATTCTAGTAGAGTGCTGTTGGCATGTTGCCATTTAGTGTAGTTGGTCTGCAAAAATCTTTCAACTAGTGACAAGTAAGAACCATGTCAGAACACTTACTGTTGTAACACAGATATATTACAGCTAACTTCATAATGTTAGCTGGAATGTTACAGCTATGTAGTGTATGCAGCACAGAGGATTGTAAATGGACTGTACTTAAATAGCGCCTTCCTATCTGATCAAGACACTCAAAGCGCTTTACACTACAATCTGTGTCCTCATTTTCCCATTCATACAGCAATTTATCTCTACACAGACTAATCAGTTCTTTAGATCACATTCATACACCGATTGGACACATATTGAAGGCAATGAGAGTTTCAGTGTCTTGCCCAGGGACACTTCAACATGTACCTGCTGGTGGAATCAAACCCCCAACTCTCCCATCGGAGGCCGACTGCTCTAACCACTCATCCACAGCCGCCCCCAAGTTAGCTGTGTACCAGAATGTGTGCATTAAAATTTTTATTGCACCATAGACTTTTCCAAGACTTCAGTCATACTGTCTGAGTAACAGATAAGTAGGTGGCTGTGTGTTAGCAAGTGAGCATGGTATGGTCTCCCAGGAGCTTACCCAGACCGAGGCAGCATGACAGTGAAACTGTGGGATGAAAGCAGTAGATAAGACCGGAACCATGAATGTCATCAACCTAATATGCCAAAACCCTGACGTTGATTTGGGGTCATAGTAACAGCTTAATGAATCATCAGTGCCTACTTTTCCACATACAGTAATAAGTTGGCATTGTGCACACTAGCAGACTATTAAAAGCTTTTGGTTCTGACGTGAGACTCAACCTGGCTCTGGTCATAGTAAAAATGCATCTGTGCTACCAAAGGTTCTTCCATCGAGCCTGCGACCGTGACACAGAGATGAGAAACTGCCTACTGAAAATGTTGTGAAGTAAGTGGGCTCTTATCTCCGAGTGCGGTATTAGCGCTTGTAATAAGCTGTGCCACTTGGCTGACAATATGTGGAGAGCTGGCATTTCAGACAAGGACGTGATTTGCCAGGCTGAAATGGAGGCATTTATGATGGTGACTGTGTTTGACTCCACACACCCAAGTGGTATGTATGTATGTGTGTCCCTTAGATGATAATGAAAATGTGGAACGTGTGCTAATGAAACCAAATAAGAAACTGTGCTGTTTGCTGTGTAGGCGAACATTACTGACTGTTATAAGAATCACCAGGGAAAAGGAGGGAAAAAAGACGCCAATGAAGCAACCAATCAACAATTCCATCTTCCATCAATATTTGCTTTATGCAAATGACAGTCAAACATTTAGCACAAAGGAAGACTGACAGCACATTTTAGTGTGAGAATTGAGCACAAGCTACATTTGGTTAAGAAAAAAAAAACAAACCTAACCTTTACTTTTATGCAGAGCAAACAGTTTCCCTTGCAGGCTATTTTGTTGTTTTGTTTGTTTTACAGACCTTAAACCAACGAGAGACCCAAAATAACATTTTTGTGATAATTTTATCAATGTATATATCCACTCCAATTAAGCCAGACAAATAGAAGGAACATTTAAATGATGACCGTGGAAGGAGCTGACATTTTATAGGAGCATAAATTAACTTTGTGCTAGTATTCTGTACCTGAACTATCATTAACCCTAACTCTAACCTGATTGTCATGAATGACCTTGCACCAGGCTCATAGTACATCTCAGATCACTTAAGGGTCTCCTGATAGATGTATGAAAATTCCACAAAATAATGCCAAAACTACACATGTGTTGACCTGAGTTACGGTTGAGGTTGCCTTCTGTTTGTTGATCTTCATAGCAAACCTTGAGCACCTACTGAACATCAAAAGAAGATCATGTAGATACAATCTGACAAAAACCTGTAACTACACCCCAAATCCTCCCTTGGACTAACTGATATCTTTAGTTCAAATGATGTGCGGTTTGTAAAGTATATGCAAAATATGTAAAGTTTAAATTAAAAAGCCTAACAGGTGTACTGACTAATATATATATATATGTATATATATATATATATATAGTTTATGGATAAAATACAAATTTTATTGATTTGAATAATTTTTTGTACAAACACTGACCACGAAAGACAAATGAGGCAGATGTGAATTAACCAAAATGTCAAACTGATCACAGTTTGTGTGAAGGTTTATTAAGCTTTATTTAGGCACAAGAAAGTTGTTTTTGGACTGACACTATACTAAAGTTTTAGCATTTGCTTTTAAATTAAACTATCATTTGTACTAAACAATGTATATATTTTTTTATTTAAATAGAGCAATAGATAATGCTGTTAAAAGGTTAGCAGTTGAATTTTCCATTGCAAGGCGTCCAACATTTCTTGAGACTGTCGCCATATCATGCTAGGCCTCATTTGTAAGTGCAGCCTCCTTTCAGTCATGAAGACGTTTGCTCATGTATCTGTGGGCTGGATACCATAAAAAGTAATGCTGCACCAAGTGCTGAGGAGGAGGCTGCAAGGCTGATGACCAAGTCCACAGAGGTTCGCCACAACCGAACAACCACAAACAGCTATATGAAAGTTCATCTGACACCACGCTGGTTACAGATGTGCTCAGGCAAAGACAGAGAGATTAAAAAGAGCAAGAACAATGGCAAAAAGACAGATAGAGCCTCAGCTTGGAGAATCACTGAGTGCAAATTTGACATCATGAACACAAACATGCTGAAAAATCCATTAATACCATTATCATACTCTGTAAACACAGTATTGCAATGAAGCAGAAAAAAATGTTTAAAGGAGGTGAAAGCAAAAGCAGAAATAGCTCAAGTTGGGCAACATCAAAGGAATGATCAGTGAGAAACTCTGCCTTGTCCCTGACAGCTTATGGCTAAGAAAAGCACAGCGACTGATGCACCACAGAGCAGTAAGCCAAAGACATATGCTGTTGAAAGGAGGACAAAATACAAGTGCTAAGGCATATATCAGTAGATTTCCTTGCACATACAATGCACACTAACAGGAATCAGGTGAGTCTCAACCATATCAACAACCGATTCAAGACTTTTCAAATAGCTGCCATCGTATGTCATAATTTACACCACTGGTGGGGATTACATGAGTTTAAATTGGCCACGCTTCCACACAGCTCCTGGGCCTAAGATGGATGCTGAACTTGAAAGGCAACTAAGCAGAGCCAAGCTGGCTGGAGATGAGCTGAAAAAAAGCTCAGGAGAGAGCGGCCGCTAGATATTTCATCCACCGTCTCAGACATGAATCAAGAAGATGGCCAACAGGGAGTCAAAGCAAGAGGACGTGGTTCTGAAGTCTGGCTCCTCTCACAGTTCCCAAGATGGCAGCAATCAATAGATGGATGAAACAATTGCTTGGTTCATTTACCCAAGTTAGAGTTCGTTGCCACCATTCATCAATCTCTTGAAGAAAATGTATTCCTGCTAAACCAATAATATCTTTGGTCCCACATGCACTACACTATAAGACATTCAGTAATATCATTGGTCGTTCAGTGACTCATCAGATCCAGGTGAATTTAGGCAGAGAGCAAACAAAAAATACATGAAAACAAACCAGAAGATCTTACCATGACCCCCACGTGTAAGAAAGGGCATCCGGTTGATGGCAATGGGCGCAGTGCCATGCTTGTTATGGAAGTGATGAACATGGTGGGTGGTGCTGAGAGAGGAGGAGACTCTGGCTGCCACAGCTGGGCATGGGAACACCAGTAGGGCCAGAGACAGTACCAGCCTGAAAAGAAAAGCTGGACTGGCCCACACTACCGGTGACGCCGCAGCTGGCCTGGACACTGATAGCTCCCCATCGTCCACCTCCACTTCCACCTCCACCTCGTGTTCCATGGGGGCGAGGCCTGAAATGAACCGAAGGCCTCTCCCCCTCATGCGACACAAACAGGAAGTAAACATCTCAAATGGATCCAGGGCCCATGATCCCAAGCTTCCCAGCCCAGGAAGAAAAAAAATTAAAAAATAAACACAAAATATGGTTTAAAAAAATAAGCCAAGGGAGACGAAGAAAACAAAAAACAGATCCTTGATTGAAAATCCCAAAAATGATCAGCGAAGGAAAGAAAAAAAAAAAGGAATATCCCTCCTGAAATGAAAAACCGCCCACAAAAAAAAAAAAAAGCTCCAGCAGTCAAATGTTTATATCCAAAAGGTCCTTGATCCTTCAAAACCAAATTCCCATTCCTCTTCTAAAACCTTTAATACAAAATGTAACCTCTCTGTTTAATAAAAGAAAAAAAAAATCAACTTTTCCGGCACCTAAGACTTGTAATCACAGCTTAGCAGCAATCATTTCAAGGCTTCATCTTTGTTCCTTGAAAATTATCTTGTGTGCAGCACTTTGAGTTAATTGTTCAACAGGATTTCCTTTTCCCTGGTTGAGATCTTCAGAGGACTTCGCCACCCATAATCCAAGCTTCCATCGTGAAGCAGTCGACTCTTGCCATCTCCCTCAAGGCTTTTTGACACAACTTGAACGAAATGTGGGAAAACGGGAACAAATATCGAAATTTGCAAAAAATGAAACAAACAGGAATAGGTAGAACGGTGCTGCGACGTAGGAGCAGTCCAATCCTGTTTTGGTGCTACGAATACCTGAAGGGGGTCTCAGAAGGAACACAACAAAATAAAGAATAGATTAAAGGACTTCAGGGTGAAAAAACAGGGAACGTCAAGAAAGAGAGGAAAAAAAGGTTGGCTATTTCCAAGTACTGAAATCCTTCCCCTCTATTTTGACAAAACCAATCAATATTGGTCGTAGAACGCCGAGCAGCACCAAGAAGGCAGCTTAACAGGATTTAAACCATAACCAAACCATCAGAGTGCCAGGCGTTCAGTTCATGGCAACAATCTCCCCATCCCAAAACTGACAATGAAGCTCCGTCCTACTTGGTGCTACTAAGAATCCGTTTCCTCTGGCTCTTCAAAGACTGCCTTCCAAGGTGAGGATTGGATGGGAAGCAGCCACCGGTGCCTCCGATGATGCTCCGACACAGAGTCCTGCTGCTGCCGGCTGCCTGGAACAGTCTGACGATGCTGCTGCTGCTGCTGCCTTCGCTGTGAAATTCATGCTAATTGAATCAGAAGCTGCAGCAACGAGCACATCCTTCCTGCCCGCGCAGTTCTCCCGTCTCCTTTTCCTCCGATCGAGTCAGCCAGCTCTGCCCACCCCACCTCCACCCCAAACTGCATATGGCTTCGCAACGGGCAATGAGAGAGGGGGAGAAATGAGTATAAGAACGGTAAAAACAAACAAACAAACAAAAACTATATAACAAAGAGACAAAAAACATCAAGGGGTCTGAAATAGAGGCAGAAAGAAAAGAAAAGGTGGAAAGATTTGTATCCTTTGAATGCAAAGCCCGTGACTGTGATCCACGGGGCAGAGCGGAGATGGAGAGGGAGTGTTTGGTGGAAGCAGAGACGGCGAGAGAGAGAGAGAGGAAGAGGGAGAGTGGGAGGAGAATGAGTGGAGAGAACTGATGGAGGAGAGGACACATGAAGGAAGGTGCAACAAATACACACATGCTTAACATATTTGTTGCACACAAATAATAGAATACTACACATTTTTAGTTTAGCAACAAAGCAGTATTAGATATAAAAAGGTTTAATTTATAATATCACTCAATGAGTTTCATATCAGAGTTATTACCTAGTGCTGAAAAATGATCAACAGAGTTTCATTATGTGCAGGGGAGTGGTGGCACAGAGGTTGGAGAAGGCAAGCTTGTGATCGGAAGGTCGCTGGTTTGACTCCCCATACCAACAACATCAAAATGTGGATGGGAAAGTTGAAGCACCCACACCTGCCTCCACCCTCCTTTTCTCCACTCTGGGCCCTTGAGCAAGGCCTTTAACCCCCACCATATGCTCCCCGGGAGCCCTAGTTTGCAGCTCTCTGCTCCACACAGAGGGCTGTGGTAGCTCGGTGGTCCGTGGTTGTGTCAGGAAGGACATCTAGCATAAAAACAATTACCAAGTCTTTGTGAGAGTTAGCTTGATGTGGCGACCCCTGAAGAAGGGAGCAGTTGAAAGAAAAATATAAGGTATATGCATTATGTTCAATATCCCACACTGTCAGGTCTGAAGTATGAGACTCTTCCACATAATGTGATGGGGGGGGGGGGGGGGGGG